TAGCATTTTGTATACCTTCCTCTGTCATACACATTACATAGTCACTTAATCTTCCTGAGTCCGAACTCATACCGCACATAAAATTTTTACTTCACTCTCAACTGGAAACATGAAAAGATTTTTTTCACGCGCCCATAACTCGGGCTATACCTCGAATCGCAATGGAATTCAAACACCTAATAGTTCTTCTATCATCCAGTAGGCCTTCCTCATCGCCTCCAAGTCCCATAGATGCACCTTGCAGCACTAACATACTCACCACGGTGCTCAAGCCATAGGAAAAGATCCGGCCTCAAGTCTTCCAGACTGGCCCAAAATAAACTCACAGAGATTACGTCTCGCCCCTCGATCGGGGAATCACAAGCCATCAGGGCACATCTGATACTGATCGCTCATGCGCGCGTGCAAACACGTTTAAGGAATCTCAAGAGTTTCTTTTCAAGCTGAATCAAGAACGCACGATAAGAATTCAAGCATGTGATGTTTTGCTAAAGGTTATGCAACCTCTCGAGGAAAAATACAGACGTCTCCGTACCGATCCACGAGACTCTACTAAACCGGCTCATGACTCGCGAGACCAAGTAACCTAGGCTCTGATACCAACTTGTCACGACCCCAACCCCGATCGTGATGGCGCCCAACACACTGCTAGGCAAGCTCGACCAATTCCATAACTTTAACCATTTATACAACTCACGAAATTAATTAACCTGGATGAATTACTAAATCAAAATACTGAATATCTGAAATAAAGTTAAAACATGTGGAAAACCCAAGTAGAAATACTACTACACAGCCCGAAGAATCCGGTGTCACAAGCCTGAGCCTCTAATATACGAGTGTCAACCTACTACATAATGTTCTGAAGAAATGCGGAATAAAAATAAATAGGATAGATGGGAAGATCAGGACTGCGGACATCATGCAGCTACCTTGATGCTCCCGGATGTGATGCTCAACAGAGAAAAGTCTCACTCAGCCTCAGTGGGCGCACCTGAATCTGTACACAAGGTGCAGGGAGTAAAGTGAGTACTTCCAACTCAGTGAGTAATAAACATAAATAAAGACTGAGAATAAGAAGTC